CATTTTTAAATATTTTTGAAGATAAATGAATAGTAAATGTAAAAAAAGAGACGTTTTTTAATTTTTTGTAAAACTAACTCGGATAATGAACAGGAGATTGACAGTCAATTCTTGTACCGCCAACATAGCCAAACGGAAACACGTCTAACCTAGAAATTTAAAAGCAGCAAAATAAGCTTTACTAAAGGTTCATTCAGTAAACTGTTATAATTCTGTAAACAACCACAATATTTTATCAAAAAAATAAAAAAATTGCAAAAAAAAACGGTTGCAAAATACTGCTGAGGATTTGTATTTTTACCGATAAAGTTAAATGGAAGAGGTAAAAAATTTGTTGTTTTTTATTGGTCTGCAAAAAAAAAAAAAAAATGAAAACAACTTCTGACGGATACCGTTGTGGATCAAACTGCCCAATAAACGTCGGCCTTACAACTGTAGATATACTTCGAACAGAACCATATTTGTTAGATGCTACACAGTGATAGCTAGCATAGATTCCAGACCGAGTCTTGCTAGATGCACTATTACACGGTATTATCAATGTACCACCGATTAGCATCAATTTTGTATCATCGTTTGCCGGATCCACCTAAAATTAGAAGAAAAATGCATCTTCAAATTTTCCTCATTATTCTTAAATTAATTAAAAAAAATTTTTTTTGGACTTTTACTTTAAAATGTTTTATTGTTAAAAATTGCTCATTTCTTTCCATATATCTAAAGCATAAAATCTTCATAACTTGAGGAAAATACAGACAAAAAAGTGACTAGAAGTTAGAGGAAGAACAGTCTACCAATAAAAATAAATTCGAACATTTTGAGCATTTTAGATTGACTAATGCATCATTTTTATAGGTGTTTTTTATAGGTGTTTTTCAGCAACCAAATAAAAGAAAATAAAAAAAAACAAAAGAATAAAAAAGCTTTCCGTAGTTTTTTTTCAGCCCGTTGAAAATTGGCTATACCATTAAACTTCCACAAATTTTACGTCGTCAATTATCGCTTATTACGTTAGTATTCCTTTTTTTTTTTTTTTTTTTTTTTTTTTTTTTTTT